TTTCCCATTGTGGATAGTAGTGAAACTCGTATTTGGACTCTGTCCTTTTGGAGATTTTTTCATCTACACATTTCTTTTATTATCTTAGTTACATGCTTTATGGTGTAGTTTTGGTTTATATCTATATACATGATGATCTAGAGGCGTAAATGTGGCTAAATGGTTGATTGCCAACCGAGTCACGTTCTAACTTTTTACGTTTTGGAACCGAGGTGTTTATCTATACATTTTTTTATTGTCTTAGTTACATGCTCTATGGTGTAGTTTTGACTTTATATTTATATACATGATGATCTAGAGGCATGAATGTGGCCGAATGGTTGCATTGCCGGCCGTGTCTTAGTTACATGCTCTATGGTGTAGTTTTGACTTTATATTTATATACATGATGATCTAGAGGCATGAATGTGGCCGAATGGTTGCATTGCCGGCCGAGTCACGTTCCAAGTTATTACATTTTTGGAACCGGGGCGTGACAAATTTGGTATCATAAACCCCCACCCCCTTTTCATTGAACCAAAAAACTCATGAAAAACTCCATGTCATGCCATCGCAAACACTACAGTAAAATGGGTCCAAGTGGTACTACAGTAAAATAGGTCCAAGTGGTACTAGCAAGCTATTTATTTGGGATATTTAAAATGAAAAATCTTTAACTGTAATTTCCTCCTTTCCACAATTTGAAGTTTTATTTTCGTTGGAGGACATGAAGGAGTAAACTTTAGTAGCTATTTTTCAGCTTCATGATTAAGTTGGTTCACAACCGTTAGTTAAAAATAATTAGTATGAAATTATAGTGATAAGCATACATGGCAAAGGGGTAGATCTATAAATTGAACTAAATGTCTTTAATAAATATGATATCAATAATGTCAATCCACAACCGGCTAGTGTGGCAATAGGGTTGATTCAAAAACTATTACAGAACCAATCACAGTTTGAAAAAAGAGCCTTTGTATGGTGAAAAAGTTGCTGGATAACAACAATGAGAACAAGAACAAATCTTTTATTTAAAATTTTGGGTCAGCCACATAAATCATATTCTTCCATTTAGTACTATTTAAGGCTATCTTCTAAGTTAAGTTAAACACTTAAACGTTATCACATCTTTCTTAATTACTTACCAACCAAGTTCTTTTAGGTCCTAATTCGTGCAAGTTATTGTTTTAAATATCCCCAATACAACAGATATATCAACCAACCAATGTTACATTAAACGTTGGGCGCTTCTAGGCGTAGGACTTGGCGCCCAACGCTTAGTCGTCTAGACGGGCGTCTAAGCGGTTTCTGGGCGTTTATTTATTTATTTTTTTTTTAATTATGATACTTGAAGATAAATATATATATACTCAATCAAAGATGCATAAATACTAAAATACCAACACTATTAACTAAATTGCTTGGTTTACCAATTACAATAGCTCTTTGTATGTTTATACTTCTCAACTCAAATTATAAGTTCATCTCAACTCAAATTACAATATGTAATAAATTCATATAAATTTTCAAAAAAATATAGCAATTTTAGTTCCACAATAAATCATGCATACTTAGATACTAAATAGCCAAAAATAATAATTAACAAGGCTAGAACCTAAGATGTTTTTTTTTTAAAATACTATACTTTATAGTGAATGTCAATGTTACAGAAAGCTTAGATGCCGGACTGGTGTCTAGGCGGATTTCTTTCTTCATTTAAGTGGTGGTCGATGAGATTTTGTTAAAGGTCGGAGGAAGTAGTGGAGGTGTTCGTATTTGGAGGTTAATGGAGTTTGGATGACGTGTAGGCAACAACACATAAAATCATAACCAAGACCTATACGATGTAATCCACGTAAGCAGACAATGTTCCCCTAAACGCTTGTAAAATCTAGGTGGGCAGCCTAAATACCGTTTAGACGCTAGGCGCTAGTTAGGCGGCCTAGTTACCGCCTAGGCCTAGGCGAACGCCTAAGCGGACTAGGTGGAGGTTTTTTAAAACAGTGCAACCAACATATTCTTTTATAAAGTTTGTCGCAAAACGATATGGTCTCAATATCCCTTACTGCTTTTTCCTCAAAAAGATCTGGTCCCTTCATTCAAAAACCCATCCCCCCAAAATCTCTACCCCTTACTCTTATCTCAGATCAGATCTCAGGGCATCCCCTCATCACCGGAGCTCATCGCCGCTCCCCGCCTAGCCCTTGAGTTTGTCCTTCACCACGAGTTCACCCTGAGATCTGCTCCCTGCACTCGAGTTCACCCTCGAGCTCATCCTAAGGTCGTTCCCCGCCTCACCGCCTGCCTCGCCCATGAGTTTAGCCTCAAGTTCATCGTCACCACTCTCCACCTCACCCTTGAGTTCGGCCTTCACCATGAGTTCACCCTAAGATCTTCTCCTTGCCCTCAAGTTCACCCTTCACCACTCCCTGCCCACTTCGCTCGCGAGTTCCCACTTCGTCACCGCCGCTCCCTGCCTCATCCTCGAGTTCGTCCTTCACCACAATTCACCCTTCACCACTCCCTGCCTTTGCTGCCACGCGCCCATGAGTTTCCCACTTTTCGCCGCACTTCCTCGCTTCGCCCTTATTCCACCCGTCCCTCTACGTCGTGTTCCTTGATTAGCCCACGTCTGAGTTTAGTCGCCTTGAGTTTAGCTTTGCCCATGTCGAGGTAGTCTTGCTGCCCTCCTTTGCCCTCTTCACTCGCCGTCTTCTTCAAGTTCCACTCGTCACCGCGCCTCTTTCGAGTTCATCCCTCGCTCGCCCTCGCTATCGCTCCCTCGAGTTCCCACTTCACCTCGAGCTCCCCTCAACCACATCTCCTCGCACTCTCCTCGACCCCTCGATGCTCGCCCACAAGCTCCACCATCTTAATTATCCCCTCCTCGATGCCTCTACGCCTTAGATCTACTCGACACGTTGACACCTCCACCGCCATCTCCTCCTTGAATTTCGGCGACCTTCAACTTAACCAAGTTATCCATATAATTTTTTGAGTTCTAGATTTTCATATAATTTTGCTATGTAAGTTTAGTTAGGGAATTTTTATCTTGTAATTCTTGTTGATTTTGGGACATGTTTAATGTTAAATTAGATATGAACTTTTTTGAGTTCTAGATATTCATATAATTTTGCTATGAATATGACCTTTTGAAGAAATGTATAATAGTGGGCATTATATTTGAGTTTAGATTTTGGGATATGTTTATTGTTAAATTGGATATGAACTTTAAATTTGATTTGAACTATCATAATTTTATTTCATTTGAGAGTCGAACTTATATCTTGAATTTGGTACAATTTGAGCTACTATTCATTAGGGTTGATTTAGTTTTTGTGCTTTGATAATGAAATTTTTTAGTGAAATTGAAAGATCAACTTGATGACAAAATTTTAAAGATTTTAAACTTGTTTTATGTGATAATTTGATAGCTTGTGTAAACACTCCAACAATTCTCTCACGTGGTACGACAATGGATGAAGATGAAGAAAACTTATAGCCCTTGACCTTGAAGGTGAGGACCATGATCTACTAATACGACAATGGATGAAGATGAAGAAAACTTATAGCCCTTGACCTTGAAGGTGAGGACCATGATCTACTATCTACGATAAGTTTTTTCTCTTAGAAAACTTATAGCCCTTGACCTTGAAGGTGAGGACCATGATCTACTATCTACGATAAGTTTTTTCTCTTAGATGATAATATCTTATTATTTATAGTGTACTACTAACTAATGACATATACCAAAATAGTTATTTTTAAGCATGAATTGGGTCTTTTTTCATAAATTTTGTTTCTCTATTTTTATAGGCATCCAAGCATGAGGAGAATGTTGATGAGCCTATTGGTGTTAAAAATGGCAAAGGTAATCTTGTTGTTGATCTATATATCGGAATGAAGTTCTCTACACATGAGGAAGGTTATAATTTCTACAATGCATATGCCAGACTTAAGGGATTTGGTTTTCGCAAGAGTCATACATTTTGGTCGAGAAAGAAAGATGTAATCATATGTAGAACATTTGTATGTGACAAAGAATGCTTTAAATTTTTAGAATATAAAAGAGAAGATGATATGAATGTAATTCAAAAGTCCGATACAAGATGTGGATGCAACGTAAGGATGGTTATTAGACTTGATAGAAGCACTGGAAAATAGGTGGTGTGAAATTTTATTATTAATCATAATGGTCATCCATTAATCACCCCAAATTGTGTAAAGAAGCATTAATCACATCGGACGCTTCATCGATCTCAATCGATAAAAATGTTGATATATACTCTTGACAACCAAGGTTTACTGTCTTCTACCATTTGTAAGGTTGTAGACGTTTCTCATAGAAATGAACAAGGATCTCTCACTCAACAAGAATGCAAAGATCATCTTAGAATTAAATAAAGAAACAATGTCGGCCATGAGTGCGTGAACATAGTTTGTCAATTTCAAAAGAAAAAGGTATCTGATCCTCAATTTTACTTTGTACTAGATTTAGAAAATGATAGGACGATGAGAAGTGTTTTTCAGATGGATGGTAGGGCGAGGACTTTTTACTTGCAATTTGGAGATGTTGTTTATTTTGATACTACATATAGAACAAACAATTTAAAATTATTGTTTGCACCATTTACGAACGTTAACCATCATTGATAATCTATTCTATTTGGGTGTGCACTATTGACCAATGAACTAGAGGAGGACTTTATATGGTTATTTAGCTGATGGCTAAAATGTATGTCGGGTATAACACCTATAACAATCATCACTGATCAAGATAAAGCTATGCATAGTGCAATTCAAAAAGTTTTTCCTCAAACTCTCCATCACTTTTATTCTTGGCACATTCATAGGAATGCCTTACAAAATCTTCAATCAATGCCTAATGATTATGGTGAGGAAGTTTCCATAAAGTATAACAAATAGTATTTGAGTTAAATAGAAGAAAATTTTAAAAAGCGTTGGGAAAAAAATGAGGGACAAATACGGTGTAGATAAAAGTAGAAGATTATTAAATTTATACAATCATCAAGATCATTGGGCTCCTGTGTATCTTAAAGATACTTTTACTATAAGAATGACATCTACTCAGCGGAGTGAGGGAATTAATATTTTTTTGATTATTTTGTGAATGCCAATGCTGAGTTATATTATTTTTTTAAGTAATATGATAAAGCTGAAAGTACCCTAATGACACTATGAAAGAACCATAGAGGGGAGTGAATAGGATTTATGCAAATCTAATCCAATTTATGCTAATTTAAAAAATAATTTAACAAATATCCTAGCAAGTATGATATATGACAAGATATATATGCAAGGATATACAAATAATACAAGGGTGAAACAAACAAAATAAGATAGTGGGAAATAAATAATGAGTAATTAACAAAGGCAATATAAATATGAACACAAAAATATGTGCGCCGATACAATCACAAACAAACGATATGATCACGGAGTTCGGTCCCCACGACCTACATCTCTGCTCCTCACCTCGAGGAGATCTCCACTATCACAACCAGATTTTCTACGCTCACCCGAATAACGTTTACACCTCACACTCGGTTTTCTAGTTCACCGAAAACTTTATAATCCACACTCTTGCAATCACACTCGCTACCACCTCAAGTGTTGGTCTCTAGCCCGTGCCTCCCTCAAGTGTTAGGAATTACAACCTACCTCTATGCATTACCATCTACCCCACTCCTCTTGGGACGACCCCATCTCTCACCATACACTCCTCTCAGTGTACAAGTATATTATAAAGTGTATCTCACAATGAAGCTCACAATATAATAAATTTGTTCTCTACAATAGATGAGAACTCAATGTAGGCTCACTCTCTAAGTCACACAATCCTACAACCCAATTATACAATATATGCAAATACAATAAGCTCAATAGGTTGTGTGTGAGCAAAGAGAAAAACCAAATCAACTAAACTCAATATAAACACTAGCTTAATAAAATGATAATCAAACAATATAAATTGTAAAGCTAGATTGAGTTTAGGAGAACTTCTCTATAGATGACAAGAGGGAGACAGAGAAGAGTTGAAGCTCAAACACAAATGGTGATCTCCTCTAGCTCTTGTAAAATTATCTTCACAAACAAACTCTTGTAAACAAAGCACTAAACACCCTTGAAAAATCTTTAAACCTCTTTTAAAACTTTTTTTAATTAATTCAGTATATTAGAGGGCAATGGGTATATATAGGATGAAGAAACAACCCCCCAAAACCCAAGAAAACCAAGCAAAAAGATAAAATAACGGAAATATGAAAATTTGGAACAACTAGCCGTTATGAGGTTGTCGGTCGACTGAAAATATACATCAGTCGACTGATGACTCTACAGAAGAAAAACAGACAGTTTCAGAGAGCTGGAATTTTACGTATCTAGTTTTGTAAAATCAATTAAAAATAGTAAATTAAATCCAAAAATCATGAAAGTTTTAGAAACGGTTCTAGACATGTATATAAACATGTTAGAGAAAGAATTTCTAAAATATCACTTCTCAGTTGAGATAAATAAATATTTGAATACAAATATTACAGTTTCTAAAAACTACTAAAATACCCGATCTTGTAAAATCAATTTGACATGGTAGATCAACTCCAAAAACCATGAAAGTTTCATGGAAGTTTCTAAACATGTATGTGAACCTGTTAGAGAAAGAATTTTATAAATATCATTTTCTATTTGAGAGAAATAATTTATTTTGTAAACCGGTCAAGAACCGAAAATCTAGAAACTGTAAACATGACATCAGTCAACACATCAGTCGACTGAAACAAAGCAGAGAGGAAAATGAGGATTCCATGCACATTCATCAGTCGACTAATCAGTCTACTAAAATCATCAGTCGACTGATCAGTCGACTGATAACACACTATCAGCCTGTTTAAAACTTAAAAACTAATTTTTGAAGTGCCTTTAAAAATATTAAATAAATTCCAAAAATTATGAAACTTTGGAAAATGTTTATAAACATGTAAATGAACATGTGACAAAAAGATTTTTTTAGAATTGCACTTCATATTTGTGAAAACTCTTTATTTTACAAAACTAGTCCAAAACATGAAAACTTAAAATACTTGTTTTTGTCATTTTGACTAAACCATGTTTTAAAAATTTACAAAATGATTTTATAGACTTTGATAAACTATGTATAAAGTGATGTTGAAGTCTATATACTAATAAAATAATATTTTATAAAAAAAAACCTATATTTTGATAAAATCATCAAATACGTGGGTGTGAATAATATGAGCTTAAAGTATTAACACACAAGTATAAACCTATACTACAAACACTAGAAACTATTATACCCAATCTTGTGATCTTCAACGAAGCTCTTCTTGATACACTTTACGGATGAAGCTTAAACTTGGATCTTCAACTTGAATTGTATTATTTCACTCCACTATTCTGCCAACCTCCATTGGATATAATCGTTAAGGCTCGATTCCATCCATCATCCAGCATATTGTTTGCCTAGAATAGATATAAAACACAAACACTAGACAAACAACATTAGATATAAATTATTTGTAAATCATCATCAAAACAAAAGGTACCCAACAATCTCCCCCTTTTTGATGATGAAAAACAATTTAGAAAAAGAAATATATGCATGAAAGGAAATGAATATACCAATTATAATTATCATGCATATAATAAAAAAGGATATACTCACAATATTTTTCTCCCTTTGACAACATCAAAAGGGGAAAACAAAAGAATAAGAGAGCGAAAGCCCCCCCTATAAATAAGCACGGTGAGTATAAAACAAATATAGGGAATGACTCCCCTTATCAAAATACCTTATGAAATATATGCATTAAAGACCAAGGTAAATATATGTGAGAAAGCATAGATGAAAACATGCTAAATACAACTCACATATAAAAAGACATTGAGAACACAAATAAATATGTCATTATGAAAATAGTGTCTCATTGCACAATAAAAAAATATAAATTGATTTATAAAATCAAAAGAATGAGGAACATGAGAATCATGAAAAAAGTTTTCAAATGAAAATAAATCAACCAAATAAAATCATAAATCATGATTTGAACCCAAAAAATTGATCAAAAGGGAAAATTTTCTTTGTAGGACTTGATCAAACCACATATAGAAAGCATTATAAAGCACAAATAGATGATCCATAAGCACAAACATATAAATATCACATATAAGTGATTTACAATGAATTCAAAAACAATTCAAAACCATTTTTTTAAAGTTCAAAATAAGATTACAAAACATACAATTGTCATGAACTATGGATTTAAAGTTCAAAAATAAATCATTTAAGTTTTTCAAACAATGTAAATGTATATATGTATATATATGTTTGAAAACAAATAAAATCCTAAAATCTAGAAAACACAACATAAATATCATTAATTTTATTTTGGCACCCAAGAACTTTTGGTGCCGGAAAACTTAGGGACATGACCCCTATCATTAAAGTTCAAAGCCCTAGGGTTATGAACCCTCTTGGGTACATGTGGTGCACGAATACGGTCAAAATAAAAATTATGTAAATGACCCTTCCGGTTGTAATAAGTATAATGAAAGGGTTAAAATGATTTGTGTTGACCAAACGGTTGTGCACAGGACTCATTTGCAAAAATAGGTTATTCTTTAAAATTATTTTGCAAACGAGAAACTCTTCTTAAATCAAAACAATATTTGGCCAAATGACCAAATCTACCACAAACTTCACATTTAAAAAACATGTGGTCTACTAGAAATATTTGGTAAACTAGAATTCCTTTTCAAATCAAAACAAAATTTTGCCAAATGGCCAAAACGATCATAATAATCACATTTAAACACACTAGCATGCTTATGATGATCATTTGATACATGTGCATGTGTGTGTAATGAAGAAACTTGATGGAATGCACACGAATTATTTGTCTTGATGGGCTTTTGTGTATTATAACAAAATTTAGCAATATGGCCTTTTCGGCCGCAAATGGAACACTTAT